CGACCGTAACTTGTCACAATTCGTAACGCGTATCTTCAACGGTTGCTGCACGAAATTCATTTTTCACACTGATATGTAGGAGGCGAGATCGAGCGCCTATTTATAGGCGCGTGAAACCGTTCAGTAGACGACACCTATTTATACGAGCGCGATACAACGAATCGCTCAGTAGTGAAAATGTTTGTCCTGCTGTCAAGTCCTTCCGATATCTGTGATTTAAACGTCGAACAGTTGCAATTTATTCCAAAAACTGTTCTGTTACGAGTGTGTGGCGATTACGTACACTACCTGTGGGATAAGCTCCCAGAACGTATAAAGACTGATTTGGAGGTTCAGACTTATCGGCGCTGTTACAAGCATTACAATCAGCCGTGGCAGAGGACGCACATCGACGGTCCCGCGCCGATGATCAAGGATTGCTACGAATGTTGGCAGAGGCAACAGCGGTAAAACGTGGCGGCGGTCTGCTGAATCGCGCGATAAACGCGCTTCCTTTCGAGCTACATATCCCCGGTTATCAGTTTTGTGGCCCAGGCACTCGTCTTGAAGAACGATTGGCGAGAGGCGATCGAGGGATAAATCCATTGGACGCGGCGTGCTGCGAGCACGACATTGCATATTCTCGGAGTAGCGAACTCGCTGAGAGACACGTGGCGGACAGGGTACTCGCCGAGAGAGCGCGGAAACGCATTTTCGCCAGAGATTCAACGCTTGGAGAGAGAGCTGCCGCTACAGCTGTTTGGGCTGCTATGAAAGCCAAGACAAAGATCGGTATGGGTTTGAAAACAAAGAAGAAAAGAGCAACAAAGAAGCGAATACTTCCGGTAGCGAAACGCGGCGGTATCTACCGATATTGGGCGTGATCGGATCCATGATCGGTGGAGCAGCTGGTGTGGCGAAGGCTGTGAGCGATAGCAAAGCTGCACAACGTCAACTTGAGGAGCTGCAGCGTCACAATCGCGCGATGGAAGGTCGCGGAGTGTATCTCGCTCCATACAAACGTGGACGAGGTGTAACGAAACAAGGAAGGAAAAAAAACGTCAAAAAAGCATTAAAAATGCCTGCGGGTGTAACAACAAACGTACAATTGGATCAACTGGCAAAATGTGTGCACATACCATACTTTAGAGGTGTCTTTATGCGAAACGCGTTACCGATAAGCGGAGTACGACGAAACGAGAGTGGTATCGTCAATCTGGACAATGCGGCGGGACCCGGCACTCACTGGGTAGCGTACGCGAAGAGGGGAAACCATGTGGTATATTTCGACAGTTTTGGTAATCTCCGACCGCCTAAAAAATTGGTGAGATATTTCGGAGATGATGCAACGACTGTGTATAATCGAACATCCCATCAGACCTACGATCAGAGCATCTGCGGACAGCTGTGTCTACGATTTCTCCAAACGGTCGACGACTGACGCGTGCGAATTTAAAAGCTTGACGAGGCGTCGCGAGGAGTCAGTATTCGCTGAGCAGCTTTTCATCCACCATGTCGCTAACACTCACGCTGACGGGAAAGAGCAGCATGCTCGCTGTAAACTATTTTCCAGCCATAGACCTGAGCGACGACGATTACGAGCTCGGTCTAATGAACTTTGAGACTTACAATACGATATCGAATGTGAATGCTTCGAATAATAAATTTTACTATGACGACGCGGAAATTACAATTCCCGAAGGATCGTATGAAGTGCAGGCCATAAATGAATTTTTGAAACGCGCACTTTCATGGAAACGTCCACGTCGGTTCCTAGCTGATGATGGTGGTGAAAAACGCAACGAAGGTGATGACGAAGCCGATGAATACCCAATTGTGCTCCGCGCTAATTACAACACGATGAGAAGTGAGATCAAATGCGCCTTCGAAATAAACTTTAGCAAGCCCAACAACATTGGATCGCTACTGGGATTCTCATCGACGCGTATACTGCAACCGCGAAAATGGCATGAATCAGACCTGCCAATCAACATTACCAATGTGAACATTATCCGCGTAGAGTGCAACGTGACCGCGGGTGCGTACAGCAACAGCAAGCCTGTACACACGATACACGAATTTTCGCCGAACGTGTCACCAGGATAGAAGATATCGGAAACACCGATGCAGATCATTTACCTGCCAGTCATCGCACGGAGCATTACCGATTTAACGGTACGAGTTGTGGATCAGAACAGTCAATTGCTCGACTTTCGCGGAGAAGAAATCACCCTCAGATTGCACGTACGCCGACAGCGATAACGCGCGCGAGTGTGCATGAGATGCTCGTGATGAACGGATCGGAGCAAATTGTAAAAGATACCACCAAACCCGCGACATCGAGATTCGGTGATATCCAGTCGTCTAGTTGTTGCAAGAAGAAGAGACTCAACGCATTGAACGTGGAATTTTTAACCTCTTTGGGATTCGCAGTGCGCAAACAATAATTGACATTCTCAATATCAACGAAGAGCCAATCTTCGACGAGCGCATCGTCAAGATTGAGACTCACTCGTACAATCCGTTTGCCAACACTACATTCGGGCACAGCGATGAGATAAGAATACCAATACAACAACAGGATCTCTATACGTTGCCGCATGAAAGTTTTCTGTACATCGAGGGAAAACTAACTACTGCCAATCAAATTGAAGGATCTGATGTAGTTCTGGGAAATAATTGTGTCGCGTTCATGTTCGACGAGATCCGATATGAACTTGATGGTGTGGAGATTGATCGCGCCAGAAATGTTGGAATAACCAGCACGCTCAAGACCTATGTCTCGTCATCGTTCGATAAAATCATGTCTCTGAAGAATGCCGGCTGGGATGTGTCGAACAATGGAACCGGAGACTTTAATTTTTGTGTGCCGCTCAGCATGCTATTGGGATTCTGTGAAGATTATCAACGCGTGGTGATTAACGCCCGTCACGAATTGATTTTAATACGATCGCGCAATGATAG